GTACGAGACTACCGTTCTTTCTCTCTCTCTCTCTCTCTCTCTCTCTCTCTCTCTCTCTCTCTCTCTCTCTCTCTCTCTCTCTCTTCATTTGTGTCTCTCTGTGTGCGTGTGTGTCTTAAGAGAATTTTTATTCATCCCAAACTATTTATTAAGCACTCATGGATTGCCTGGCAGTATGCTACATATATAGGAAAAAAGATAGAGAAGTAATAGTTAATGTCCTCAGAAAATCTACATTTTCATGGTCAGTACAGATAAGCCAGAAAGTGCACTACACTGAGATTTGTATTGAGGACATGTAGGAGTAAAGAAAGCCTTTGAGAAGAGTTTCTGACCCAGGCTCAGAACAGAGGCTTTGGGAGATGTGACGTGATGTCCAGTGATAACACAGTGAAATAGGAATGTGGAGGGGTAGCGAGCAGAGAATGGGGAGAGACAATGAGGTTCTAAGCATCCAAAGGTCAAGGAAGAATTTCAGAATCTGGAAGAGAATCAGAAAAACACGATATTTGTTTGGTTTGCTTGACACTAAAGGCATATCAGGAGATGGTGCAGTGATTTTGTTCTCTGTCTCTAAACTCAACTATTTCATCTTTCACTTCTTCGGCATCTGGTGCCTAGCACCGAGCAGACACTGAGGACTGAAGTGATTTCAAATAAGTTCTTGGTACAGCAGGAGAAAGAGCCGTCTATGAACCAGCAGAAAGAATATTAAGACTCCCTGTTCAGGTGCTTTGGGGGCTTGCTTAGCATTGACCTCTATACACTGAAGGTGCTGGTGGGCATACCTATGACTCCTCTGCCTCGGGACTCATTAGGAAGAGGAGAACACAGTAGGTAAAAAGGGAAAACTGGAAGGGGATAATATAACAGATGGAAAATTGGATAAATAGCCTGGCTTCTTTGTCTTTCATTTGAGATACCTGGTGTATGTTCTTTTATTTTTTTAATACAAAGTATTTTTAAATTTTGCATCTATTTCTATTATTATAATAATTATTGGATATGCGTGATGTGTGTGCATGTGAGAGACAGAGAGAGAGGAGAGAGGGAAGGAAACAGGGGGGAGAGAGAGAATGGGTACACAGATATCATGATGTGCACTCAGAAGTCAGAGGACAACTTTTAGGAGTTGATTTTCTCTATCCACCTTGGATTCTGGGGTTCAAACTCAGGTCTGTGTGGCAAGTGCTTTTCTCTGCTGACCCATCTTGCTGGCCCCTGATGTGTATCTTATGCCATTGTTTAGAGCTCTCAGTAAGACAGGTTTCTAAGCTAGAGGAGGTGACCAACTTGATCATTCAGGATTGTCCTTTCCCCTCTAGACTCACTTTCCCACTCCTCTTCTGTTTCCCAGGATGGTCTTTCACGTAAATTAATTTAATGCAAATTCATCTTTCCCTGTTTTCTTTCTGGGGAACCTCAAATCAAGATTCAACACTGAAACTAATGGAAGGAAAGGTATTTCTGATCTCCTGCAATAGACAAATACCAGTGGAATCCTACAAGAACAATTCTAAAAAGTCACAGAGGTGGTTGAGAAACAGATTGTCTTCGAGGCATTTTCAATCAAATTTTCAGCTTCTGAGTAGGAAAGAGAAAACTCACACTACACGGTAACTACCAGCAAGGAAATTAAAGTCCCAGCAGACCAGCAAGGTGGCAGTGGACACAAAGGGCAGATAACTTCAGATCCCTGCTCTGTTGAGAGCAAAAACTTTGTACTTCGCTTTAGGAAGATCAGCTCTTCCTCACCTAGCAGTAATCAGTTGCCAATATTTCTTCAGCTATGATTGAGGTCTATTGTCCATTTCTCCAGTTCTACGCTGGGTTTTTGTCTGCCTGAGTTTGCATAGGACTTGTGTACGCTGAAACCATTGCTGTAAATTCATATGAGCAGGGTCACAGGAGCTTGTAGGACTCTATTTCCATATGGTCATGTACGTCCTCCCCGGCTCTTACAATCTTTCCACCCCCTCTTTCAAAATGCTCCCTAAACCCTGGGTGAGTGAAGTTTAATATAGGAGTCCTGTCCAAGAACCAGCATTCTGCAGACCCTTAATCTCTACTTTTTGACCATTTGTAGCCTTTTGTGCTCCTGGCCTCTGTTGCATGAGGGAGCTTCAGACTCTAGATAAGCTGACTAAACCTCAGTAGGTAAACTTGCACTGAGGAATGTCTGGGGATACTAACTTGGCACAATAGACCTTAACACAAATGATAGACTGTATGAATTCTAGTGGGGGGCTATGGGAGGGTCCCCAGTGGGGGCAGGGGTATGAAAATGATTAAGATTGATTGAGATGCTCTGTATGAAATACACAAAAATATCAACAAAAACAAATTTTTAAAAATCTATGTACTGATGCATGGTTTGGGCAGAAGAAATAAGTGGTACCAATGCAGGTCATGGTAAAAAAAAAAAAAAAAAAGGAAAAATATCTCAAGTCAGGGGCTTCTGTTTATTAGTATTTCCTTGCACCAGGGACAAAATAGAATGCTCACATTTTTCTGTTCAAATTGCACCCTGCAGAGCATCTACATTCTGAATGAGGTTGTCTTGGGTTCCACAGTTCAGCACCACTCTCCGGAGAATCAAGTCAGTGAGAGACTCTTCCCTGCAGCTCCTCCGTTGGAGGCCCCAGCAGCCCCTCCCCACAGCGCGCCCTGGCGGGGTAGAGGTGGGGACTCCTGCTGCTTCTCTGGCTCTGTTTATCAGCTCCTTTTTCTCCTGGTGGCTTAATTGTTCTTTGCTCCAGAAAATAACTAAGATAATTAGACAGCCAAGCAATTAGACTTTGGCAGTTGTAATTAAAGAGATTTCCGGTATCCCTAAGAAACATTAAGCCTGTAAACAAGGTAGTGGCCACCAGCTTTCGACCTGTATGTGACTTTCTGTTGACTTTATTCTATTAACTTAATAATTGTTCTTTAGGCTTTTAGCCTTGTCCTAGCCCCCCAGTGAGAATGACAGGACTCAATCAAGCAAATGGAACAGGAAACCAAAACAGGAGTTTCCCCCGTGTGGCTGCTTCTCTAGGGAATAGCCTAGCCAGGAGCATTTACAGAGCAAAACTCTTACCAAAAACCTTGACTGTGGTGGAAGTCTTCCAGACTTTGAGCGAACTGACTCCCAGGTGGCAAGAGAAAATCCGACCGTCATCATGGATTTGGACCGGATAGAGGTGGAGTCCACAATCTGCACCCAGCTTGACTCTGTCTTTAAATAATGTGGAATTGCTGACTTGATGATTGTGGGTGATGAGCGCTTCCTGGGTTCCATTACTGTCCTGGAGAGGAAAACATTAGCCATTTATCAAAGGTGTGACTGTGTCAGCTCTGAACTGTTTTGCAGGCTCTATTTAATTTCTTGTAAATCAGAGGAAGGTGAAGAATTAAAATAAGGAGGTAGTCAGCAAATTACTAGAGAAAATATCATTGCATTTAACTTTTAATTGAAAACAACTCTCACCCTCTCCTAACAAGGAAACTTAATGCTGTTCTGACCAGACTGTCCTGCTTAGAGCCTTCAGTAAACTATATATCAATGGGGCATGTGGATGGAAAGCTGCTCATAGCCGATCCCAGTTCTCATTTAAGAAGTTCTAAGATCTTACTGTTTGGATGTGCTTGGGGGACTACTGAATTTTAGTTATTAACTCTTCACATGAATTGCATGATTCTAGCCATCTTGTTTTCCCAGAATTATTTCAGAAAAGATCTGATTTGGCTCCTCTCAGAAACGAGACTGAACTGAGGTAAAGAGACAACAGAGAAGAGGCTTTAAGGAGGCATATACTTTCAGTGACAGAAGGGCCCTATGAGTGTTACCTCCTTAAATTTTGTTTCCTAGATCCTCCTTACCTGACTGCATTTCCTCATCTTAATCATGGTCCTACCCTTTATGCCCTGACATTCCTAGATCTACATGTATATTAACTTAGAAAGAAAATTCAGGAAATATGGGCTTTAAATGTTAATGCGAATTTAGTTCATCAGATTTCACTGGAAGAACTTGATTCCTCTAGTTCTTTTCCTGCCTTGTGTTGATAAAGAAAAGGCCCTGTTATTCTCATTCTACCCAGGATTTTTATGGCAAGCCTGTGGTCACAATGATGGTCAGGGTCAGTATGGTGTTGACCAGCTTTCCAGGGAGGAGAAGTCACTTGAAGAACAAAGGGGCAGAAGACTGGTTAAATCTTCACCCTCTGTTAGTATAACTCAGTCTCATTTGAGCTGTTTAGAAACTATCCACTGGACACATTTCTTCTCTGGAGATTCAGATTCAATGCCTGGGCTCAGGGCCAAACTGGGGCATTTTTTGAAGTTTCTCGAGGAAGCGGGGCAGAGCTGAGAACACCTGGTCTAACACTGAGATGAATCATTTTGCACAGGGGAAATGGAAGGAGCTGAAGTGGGAAAGGGTGAACAGGAATATATCTGACAGGGAAAAGGCACAAAGAATGAAAGGAGATGTCTAAGGTTTGGAATCTATAGTTTAAAAACTGAGATAGAAGTAGAAGCAGCTCAGCGAGTGAATTCAGTATTGGCAGACTTCTTAGTGCAATTGCATAGAAATTTCCAGATTACACTAAATAGAAATTCTTATGTAAGCCACATTACCTCGGCTGAATATGGCTAAGATTTTCATCAGTCTTGGATACAGACTGAACTGTAGTTTTTCCTATAAAAAAAAAAAATCATGCCCTGTTTAAGCCTTATCCCTGAAGCAAGGTACATACCTCTGTACTATCATAAAGTCATCTTAAGAGCCTGTGATGCAGTATTCCTGATGAAGAAGTGACCAGAGGAACAAAGGGAGAGTATATTCCAGAGACAAGGGCCCCACAGTGCAGGCATTTTCCTCTGCATCACTGATCTGAAGGCAAAACTTAAGGAAGCTGGCTCCCCCTGCAGGACCTTTAGCATAAGATGCGCTTTACAGCAGCTTGTGCATGGATGGGGCTGTTTTGTACTGGTTTAGGGGTTCAAATGTTCTTGGCCTATCAACACTCATGGATCAGAGTGACTCGGGGCCCTACCCATCCCTACTGAACTATTGGTCACTGATAAATTCAAGGGAGGGGCAAACATTGTCTTTACTTGTACACCCACTGAGAAACCCACCAGGCTCCAATGGATAGTTCCAAACCCATGATCAAACAGATGGCCCTGGTTAAACTCTGTGGGTCATAAAACAACAAGAACAACAAACATGAATATGGGAAAGGGTCTTGTAAGAAAGAAGAGGTTGACGGGGCGGGAAGGAGATACGGGATGATGGGGTGGGGGTGGGGGCAAAAGTAATCAGAATGCATTATATACACGTATGGACTTGCCAAAGAACAAATTTCATAAAAGATATTTAAAGTGTTCTTGGTATTTCACCATGTTTTCCATTTGTGCCATGCCCATTTGTCAGTTTGTTGTGGGAAGAGGGTAGGCACAAAATGGAGGATGGTAAAAGCTGCTTTTGCCCTTATTTCTTTATGAGTACGACTCGCCACCTTAGCTACATTGATAAAGATATGATGCATACATACAGCCCAGAGTATTCAACAGAGCTGCTTTGCTTTTCCTTGGCACCTGGCTGTTGCAGAGGGAGAGATTTACTCTTTTGGGGGAGGGGGGGGGAATGGAATTCAGCTACAATGAGTTTTGAAACCTATAACATAAAGAGATCCCGAGAGACTCTAGAATTCCCACTAGTAAAGAGGGTCATAGCAGGAACCTGCATGTGAATGGCTGCCTTCGGAGAAAATGGCAGGAGTGAACAAAATGAACTCGGACAAACCATCTACTGCCTGGAGCTAGGAGAGGCAAAAAGACTGTAATTATGCTACAACTGCTACTGAAATGCCCACTTCTCATTAGTTACAGATTAAATATATTTAGTGCCTACTGCATTCTAGGCACTGTGCAAAGCTTGTTCAATCCTATCTTATAAATCTCCTTACCACAATCTGAAATAAGTTATGGTTAAGCAATTTGCTCATGGTCCATAGAATAAGAAAGTATTCAAGTCAAAGCATTTTAAATCATGGATGCTCAGAACCTAGGAAAAACATTTCTTGGGGACTGGATAGGTTATATTGAGTCATGAAAAATTGCTGCTATATGCTCCTGACAAGTGCTAGACTTCATCGATGGAAGCTTTTGTACTTTTGTATTAGGATCAGAGTTTTTGGTCCAGAAGGGGGATGCTGGTATTATTTGATTTGGTGATACTATCTCTTCTCCAGCTAGTCTCAGATGCTCTGTGGTAGGGTTGGCTGTGTTGACCACAGCACATGGCAGGTGCTGAGTGCTCCGGGCTCATCCATAACTGCTCTAACTGTATTGATTCCAGTTCTTTATCTCCAATCTGCTTCTTATCTTCACATTCCCTCCATGTACTCTCCACCCGCCAGTGCTGTCAAAGCAGGCTGTTTGCAACACTCCCACCTCCACTTTCAACAGTACCAGTCCAGTGGATTTCTAATCACCATTGGTCATTAACTCTTTGTAGTTTGACTGGTATTTGTATTTTTATCACAGTCAAGACAATTAGGGTTACTTGCCACCACAGAAGAGGCTATACTGCTGCTTCCTGAACAGCAGTTTTCCACGTGCATCAGAAACCATTGTTGACAGTCATATTTTGCTTTATCCCCTATTATAAAGTAGCACAGACATTAAAGAAGAATATAATGAGAAGATGTATTTTCAGATGAAAATTTCAAACTATGTAAGCATCTAATAATTATGTGCCTTCATCATGAATATTGAACTGTTTGAATTTAAAATATTTCTGTCTTTCACTTTATGATTTGAGAGAAAAATTACAGACCTCTTTTTAAAATTTATTTATTCTGTAAGAATTTCATGGGCTGGAGAGATGGCTCAATTGGTTAAGAACACTGGCTGCTCTCTCAGAAGACCCGGGTTGAAATTCTACCATACACATGGTAGCTAACAACCGTATATAACTCCAGTTCCAGGGAATCTGACACCCTCTTCTGGCCTCCATGAGCACTGCATGACAAAGGTGCACTTACATACATACAGGCATACCACTCATAAACATAATTTTTTAAAGGTTTAAAAAATAAATTCACACATGTAATAGTGTATTTTAATCATATCCACCCTTCTACTCCTTCCAAACCCCTCTTCTTCTTCTCCTCCTCCTCCTCCTCCTCCTCCTTCCTCCTCCTCCTCATCCTCCTCCTCCTCCTCTTTCTCCTCACCTATCCCTCCTCT